TAGCATCTTTAGGATTCTCTATGTATAGTATCATGTCAACTGCAAACAGTGACAGCTTTACTTCTTCTTTTCCGATTTGGATTCCTTTTATTTCTTTTTCTTCTCTGATTGCTGTGGCTAAAACTTCCAAAACTATGTTGAATAAGAGTGGTGAGAGTGGGCAACCTTGTCTTGTTCCTGATCTTAGTGGAAATGGTTTCAGTTTTTCACCATTGAGCACGAGGTTGGCTGTGGGTTTGTCATATATGGCCTTTATTATGTTGAGGAAAGTTCCCTCTATGCCTACTTTCTGCAGGGTTTTTATCATAAATAGGTGTTGAATTTTGTCGAAAGTTTTCTTTGCATCTATTGAGATGATGATATGGTTTTTCTCCTTCAATTTGTTAATGTGGTGTATCACGTTGATTGATTTGCGTATATTGAAGAATCCTTGCATTCCTGGGATAAACCCCACTTGTTCATGGTGTATGATCCTTTTAATGTGCTACTGGATTCTATTTCCTAGTATTTTGTTGAGGATTTTTGCATCTGTGTTCATCAGTAATATTGGTCTGTAGTTTTATTTCTTTGTGACATCGTTGTCTGCTTTTGCAATCAGGGTGATGGTGGCCTTGTAGAGTGAGTTTGGGAGTGTTCCTCCCTCTGCTATAATCTGGAAGAGTTTGAGAAGGATAGGTGTTAGCTCTTCTCTAAATGTTTGATAGAATTCGCCTGTGAAGCCATCTGGTCCTGGGCTTTTGTTTGTTGGAAGATTTTTAATCACAGTTTCAATTTCAGTGCTTGTGATTGGTCTGTTCATATTTCCTATTTCTTCCTGGTTCAGTCACAGAAGGTTGTGCATTTCTAAGAATTTGTTCATTTCTTCCAGGTTGTCCATTTATTGGCATAGAGTTGCTTGTAGTAATCTCTCATGATCCTTTGTATTTCTGCAGTGTCACTTGTTACTTCTCCTTTTTCATTTCTAATTCTATTGATTTGAGTCTTCCTTTTTTTCTTGATGAATCTGGCTAATGGTTTATCAATTTTTTTTGTCTTCTCAAAGAACCAGCTTTTAGTTTTATTGATCTTGGCTGTCATTTCCTTCATTTTTTTTTCATTTATTTCTGATCTGATCTTTATGATTTCTTTCCTTCTGCTAACTTTGGGTTTTTTTTTTTCTTCTTTCTCTAATTTCTTTAGGTGTAGGTTAGGTTGTTTATATTAGATGTTTCTGTTTCTTAAGGTAGGATTGTATTACTATAAACTTCCCTATTAGAAATGCTTTTGCTGCATCCCATAGGTTTTAGGTCTTTGAGTTTTCATTGTCATTTGTTTCTAAGAATTTTTTGATTTCCTTAGTGATCTCTTGGTTATTAAGTAGTGTATTGTTTAGCTTCCATGTGTTTTTATTTTTTACAGATTTTTTTCCTGTAATTGATATCTAGTCTCATAACATTGTGGTTGGAAAAGATAGTTGATATGATTTCAGTTTCCTTATATTTACCAAGGCTTGATTTGTGACCCAGGATATTATCTATCCTGGAGAATGTTCCATGAGCACTTTGGAAGAATGTGTATTCTGTTATTTTTGGATGGAATGTCCTATAAATATCAATTAAGTCCATTGTGTTTAATGTATTGTTTAAAGCTTGTGTTTCCTTGTTTATTTTCATTTTGGATGATCTGTCCATTGGTGAAAGTGGGGTGTTAAAGTCCCCTACTATGATTGTGTTACTGTTGATTTCCCCTTTTATGGCTGTTAGTATTTGCCTTATGTATTGAGGTGCTCCTATGTTGGGTGCATAAATGTTTACAATTGTTATATCTTCTTCTTGGGTTGACCCCTTGATCATATGTAGTGTCCTTCTTTGTCTCTTGTAATAGTCTTTGGTTTAAAGTCTATTTTGTCTGATATGAGAATTGCTACTCCAGCTTTCTTTTGATTTCCATTTGCATGGACTATCTCTTTTCTGTCCCCTCACTTTCAGTCTGTATGTGTCCCTAGGTCTGAAGTGGGTCTTTCTTTGACAGCATGTATATGGGTCCTGTTTTTGTATCCATTCAGCCAGTCTTTGTCTTTTGGTGGGAGCATTTAATCCATTTACATTTGAGGTAATTATCAATATGTGTGTTTCTATTACCATTTTCTTAATTGTTTTGGGTTTGTTATTGTAGGTCTTTTCCTTCTTTTGTGGTTCCTGCTTAGAAAAGTTCCTTTAGCATTTGTTGTAAAGCTGGTTTGGTGGTGCTGAATGCTCTTAGGTTTTGCTTGTCTGTAAGGTTTTTAATTTCTCCATTGAATCTGAATGAGATCCTTGCTAGGTAGGGTAATCTTGCTTGTAGGTTTTTCCGTTTCATCACTGTAAATATGTCCTGCCACTCCTTTCTGGCTTGCAGAGTTTCTGCTGAAAGATCAGCTGTTAACCTTATGGGGATTCTCTTGTATGTTATATGTTGTTTTTCCCTCGTTGCTTTTAATATTTTTTCTTTGTACTTCATTTTTGATAGTTTGATTAATATGTGTCTTGGCATGTTTCTCCTTGGATTTATCCTGTATGGGACTCTCTGTGCTTCCTGGACTTGATTGACTATTTCCTTTCCCGTATTAGGGAAGTTTTCAACTATAATCTCTTCAAATGTTTTCTCAGTCCTTTACTTTTTCTCTTCTTCTGGGACCCCTATAATTCGAATGTTGGTGCATTTAATGTTGTCCCAGAGGTCTCTGAGACTGTCCTCAATTCTTTTCATTTGTTTTTCTTTATTCTGCTCTGCAGTAGTTATTTCCACTATTTTATCTTCCAGGTCACATATCCGTTCTTGTGCCTCAGTTATTCTGCTATTGATCCCTTCTAGAGAGTTTTTAATTTCACTTATTGTGTTGTTCATCACTGTTTGTTTGCTCTTTAGTTCTTCTAGGTCCTTGTTAAACATTCCTTGTATTTTCTCCATTCTATTTCCAAGATTTTGGATCATCTTCACTCTCATTATTCTGAATTCTTTTCCAGGTAGACTGCCTGTTTCTTCTTCATTTGTTTGGTCTAGTGGGATTATTACCTTGTTCCTTCATCTGCTGTGTGTTTCTGTCTTCTCATTTTGCTTAACTTACTGTGTTTGAGGTCTCATTTTCGCAGGCTGCAAGTTCGTGGTTCCCGTTGTTTTTGGTGTCTGCCCCCAGTGGCTAGGGTTGGTTCAGTGGGTTGTGTAGGCTTCTTAGTGGAGGGGACTTGTGCCTGTGTTTTGGTGGCTGAGGCTGGATCTTGTCTTTCTGGTGTGCAGGACTGCGTCCGTTGGGTGTATTTTGGTGTGTCTGTGACCTTACTATGATTTTAGGCAGCCTCTCTGCTAATGGCTGGGTTTGTGTTACTGTCTTGCTAGCTGTTTGGCATAGGATGTCAAGCACTGTAACTTGCTGGTCATTGAGTGGAGCTGGGTCTTAGCATTGAGATGGAGATCTCTGGAAGAGCTTTTGCATTTGATATTACGTGGAGCCAGGAGGTCTGTGGTGGACCAGTGTCCTGAACTCAGGTCTCCCACCTCAGAGGCATAGGCGTGACACCTGGCCGGAGCACGAATACCCTGTCACCCACACAGCTCAGAAGAAAAGGGAGAAAAAATGAAACAGAGAAAGAAAAATAAAATAATATAAAGTTATTAAAATAAAAAATAATTATTAAAAAATTAAAAAGTAATAATAAAAGAAAGAAAGAATAGAGCAAGCAAACCAAAAAAACAAATCCACCAGTGATAGCAAGTGCTAAAAACTATACTAAAAAAACTCCCCAAACAAAAAATGGATAGACAAAACCCTAGAACAAATGGTAAAAGCAAAGCTATACAGACAAAATCATACGAAGAAGCATACACATACACACTCACAAAAAGAGAAAAAAGAAAAAAAAATCTATATATACAAAAGAAAAAAAAGGAGGATGAGAGCAACCAAATCAATAAACAAAGCTACCAATGATAATCAACTCTAAATACTAAACTAAGATAAACATAAAGCCAGGAACAAATTAGATGCAGAAAGCAAACCCCAAATCTACAGTTGCTCCCAGCATCCACCACCTCAATTTTGGGATGATTTGTTGGCTGTTCAGGTATTCCACAGATGCAGGGTACATCGAGTTGACTGTGGAGATACAATCTGCTGTTCCTGAGGCTGCTGGGAGAGATTTCCCTTATCTCTTGTTTGTTTGCACAGCTCCTGGGGTTCAGCTCTGGGTTTGGCCCCGCCTCTGCGTGGAGGTCTCCTGAGGGTGTCTGTTCTTTCCTCAGACAGGACGGGGTTAAAGTAGCAGCTGATTAGGGGGTACTGGCTCACTCAGGCCGGGGTGAGGGAGGGGTACGGATGTGGGGCGAGCCTGTGGCGGCAGAGGCCAGCGTGACATTGCACTGGCCTGAGAGGCTCCCCATGTGTTCTCCCAGGGAAGTTGTCCCTGGGTCACGGGACCCTGGCAGTGGCGGGCTGCACAGGCTCCCGGAAGGGTAGGTGTGGAGAGTGACCTGTGCTCGCACACAGGCTTCTTGGTGGCGGCAGAAGTAGCATTAGCGTCTCATGCCCGTCTCTGGAGTCCGCGCTGATAGCTGCGGCTCGTGCCCATCTCTGGAGCTCGTTCAGGCAGTGCTCTGAATCCCCTCTCCTCGCACACCCCGAAACAGTGGTCTCTTGACTCTTAGGCAGTTCCAGACTTTTCCCCGGACTCCATCCCGGCTAGCTGTGGCGCACTAGCCCCTTTCAGGCTGTGTTCGTGCAGCCAACCCCAGTCCTCTCCCTGGGATCTGACCTCCGAAGCCCGAGCCTCAGGTCCCAGCCCCCGCCCGCCCCGGCGGGTGAGCAAAGAAGCCTCTCGGGCTGGTGAGTGCTGGTCGGCACCGATCATTTGTCCGCTTTGCCCTCTGCAGCCCTGTTGCTGCGCGCTCCTCCGTGGCTCCGAAGCTTCCCCCCTCTGCCACCCACAGTCTCCGCCCGAGAAGGGGCTTCCTAGTGTGTGTGGAAACTTTTCCTCCTTCACAGCTCCCTCCCACTGGTGCAGGTCCCATCCCTATTCTTTTGTCTCTGTTTTTTCTTTTGCCCTTCCCAGGTACGTGGGGGAGTTTCTTGCCTTTCGGGAGGTCTGAGGTCTTCTGCCAGCGTTCAGTAGGTGTTCTGTAGGAGTTGTTCCACATGCACATGTATTTTTGATGTATTTGTGGGGAAGAAGGTGATCTCCACGTCTTACTCCTCTACCATCTTGAAGGTCTCCCTCTTTGCAGTTCTTTTTGTTTTGATAGTATATCCCACTAAGGATGTTCAGTCAAATTACTTATTTTTTTTAAATTACTTATTTTTAAGTCACTTTATAGTTCCTCTCTTGTGGTTATGCTACCAACTTGATACAAAGAATAATTTGTTTAATTTTGCTTTTATTGTGAATTTTTTAAAATTAATTTTCTTTTAGAATTATATAAAATGTTGAAGTGGTTTTTAAATAAAAACAATAAAATCAAGGTATTTTCAGAGAAATCTAGCTTCTTTCCTCGTCTCTCTACCCTGTTCTTGCCTCCCTTTTTTAGGGGACCAATTGAAAAAAAAATTGTGTGTTCTCCTTCCATTTAAAAAAATACAAGTGTACGTGTGTGTGTGTGTGTGTGTGTGTGTGTGTGTGTGTGTATGTGTTCCCTCTTTACTTTCTTAGATAAAAGGTAGTTTAGTATCTTTTACTTAATATATTCTGGATATCACTCCATAGCAAAACAGGGAAATTCTTTTTATTTTAGCTGTATTTTGTGGGTATATCGTAGTTTAACTAATCCTAGGTTAATATTTAAGTGTCCTTTTTTTTGAGGAAATGCTGACATATTTTATTCTTTTGTAATATAATTACAAGTTAACATAATACCTTGTGATTGTATCTGTTTGATTTCTATAGTTATCAAATCTTGTAACCCAGTGGTGTTTAGTTTCTACAACTACCTTCGAACTCATCCTTTGCTTATTCGAAGAAACCTTGCCTCCCCTGAAGGAACTTTGGCAACCTTAGGTCTCAAAACGGAGAAGAACTTTGTTGATAAAATTAATCTCATAGAAAGAAAATTATTCTTTACTACAGCAAATGCTCATTTTAAAGTTGGATGTCCTGTTTTAGCCTTGGAGGTACTCTCCAAAATTCCAAAAGTTACCAAAGTGTCTGCCTTACCTTCAGACAAAGATCAGCCTGACTTCATTTCTAAAAAGACGGACGATGTACCTTCAGAATCAAAAACTCTGAGTGATGGTGATAGAAGTTCTGGAACTGATTGGTCAAACGTAACTTCATCACAGATTGACTGGAGTCAGCCAATAGTAAAAGTTGAAGAGGAACCTCTTACTCTTGATTGGGGTGAAGAGCACGATGGTGCCTTAGAAGAAGAGGAAGAAGATGCTGTCGGTTTAGTAATGAAAAGTACAGATGTCAGGGAAAAAGATAGACAAGAAGATCGGGAAGCCCCAGACCCTAATGTGTTATTGACTCCTCAGGAAGAGGATTGCCTGGAAGGTGATTCTGAAGTTGATGTGATTGCTGAACAACTAAAATTCAGAGCTTGTTTAAAGATCCTTATGACTGAACTAAGAACTTTGGCTACAGGTTATGAAGTAGATGGTGGAAAACTCAGATTTCAACTCTATAACTGGCTTGAAAAGGAAATTGCTGCCTTGCATGAGATATGTAATCATGAATCAGTTATTAAAGAATATGCCAGTAAAATGTATTCCACAGTAGAGAGTGATATTCTGCATCAGGAAGAAATGGTGGACAAACCAGGTATTGGTTCCTATGAGTGGCACCAAATAGAAAGGCGGAGACTACAGGCTAAACGAGAGCATGCGGAAAGACGGAAGTTGTGGTTGCAGAAGAACCAAGATCTCCTCAGAGTGTTTCTTAGTTACTGTAGCCTTCATGGGGCCCAAGGTGGTGGTCTGGCCTCAGTAAGGATGGAACTCAAATTTTTGCTACAAGAATCACAGCAGGTATTGACTTTACTTTTGTTTTCAATCTTGGTTATTTTAATAATTTCAGTAACTTTCATTTATAGTTGTAAAGCTCTTTTTACTGGTTAATGTTAATGTGATTAGCTCCTCTATTCATAGGAGGCACATATTTACACTCTGCATGGGTCTTTTTAGACAAAAGTTTTGGTAATTAGGAGTAGGCTAAAAGCTTGAGAGCACAGCTGTTGTCAAACTCATCTTTACATCTTCTGCATCTAAGCATAGGACCTGGTATGCAATCAGTTTTTGTAGAATAAGTGAGCAAGCACATTAACATATTGCTTTTACTCAGATGTTTACTGCCAGTATTTTTATCATATAACTATTAATTGCTTTTTTTGTCCTTCATTTTAACTACGGAAAAAATAATCTCCTATCACTTACAGGAAACTACAGTGAAGCAGCTCCAGTCTCCACTACCACTGCCTACCACCCTACCTCTGCTTTCAGCAAGTATTGCTTCAACAAAAACAGTCATAGCTAATCCTGTATTGTACTTAAATAATCACATCCATGATATACTTTACACTATTGTTCAGATGAAAACACCACCTCATCCCAGTATTGAAGATGTGAAGGTAATGCAGAGTTTATGATCATTTGGTATTGTACATACTGAGAAGGTAAATGTGTTATACTTGTCTTCCAATTTGAACTTAGAAGAAATATTTTACAGTACTCTTATCTGCTACCTTCTCAGTCGGACTAGTTCAAGACCATTTGTCCAATGAATGTAATTTGAAAGTAAGCATTCTTGAAATTCTCCCATTTGCCACAGCTTGGATGGAGTTTAAGCTAAGTGAAGTAAGTCGGACAGAAAGAAAAATACCATATGTTATCACTTAGATGTGGAATCTAAAAAATGAAACAAATGACTGTATAGAACAAAACAGAAACAGACTTCCAGACATAGAGAACAAACCAGTGGTTACCAAAGTGTGTGTGTGTGTGTGTGTGGGGGGCACATTATGGGTAGGGAAGTTAAGCGATACAAACTACTATAAGCATAAAATAGACAAGCAACAAGGATATATTGTACAGCTCAGGGAAATAGAGCCATTATTTTGTAATAACTTTAAAGGGGAGGATAATCTATAAAAATATTGAACCACTGTGCTGTATACCTGAAATTAATATGATAGTTTCTTCTTACTTGTGGAAAAGTTATTATCTTCCTTTAAGACAGGCAAATACTTTTTTGGTAATAAAATTCATTTTCTAGACAGTATTCTTGCCAGATATTCCTTTGGATTCTCCATCTCCTTTAAATGAATCATTAAGTAGAAATATTTATAACTGTTTGCTTAGATGCCAGGATATTATGAAAATATAAGTGCAGGGGGGTATCTTTGAGAGAACCATGATTGATTAGAAATAGTCCCAGAGAAAGTACCCTCATTACTGTCTCCCTGATGACTGTGTTTTGTTGGAGGCTGTGGAATAGTTTGGGGCAATTAGAGTTTTGGCAGAGTTACTACCCCAAATTAAAACTATATCCTATGGTGAAAACTTAAAAATGGATAGATTCTAAGAAACAGTAGGGAGTGTGGCAGGATCTGGAGAGATGATCAGACTTCCACTGTGCTAGCCTAAGTGTATTTGTACTGTACTTTTTCCAATTCCAGTGGCTGATGTCATTTCAGGTCCCCAATATTTTTATTTTTAATTTTTTTGTTTGAAAGGCACATTCAATCTCTGGTAGTACATTCTTCTGAAGGACCCAAGGTTTACTGGTCATATCATCCTATTAGAGACTTCTAATCCATAGCATGAATTAATCTGTATCAGTATTTTAGCAGAGATTACTTAAATTATTTGATAGGCGAATATGGAAATGCAGAAAATGCATTCAATGCATATAAGCTCTAAGTAAACATTTCTAGTTCCTAGAAATTTGGATAAGCTTTCAAAAAGTATGAAACTATTTCTAAGATCCCTTCAAATTTTAAGATTGTGTGAGTCTCAAAATGCTGATTCAGTGTGGCATTGTAGGATGTGGTTTTTATATTATATTGATCATTTTTAAACTTTCAAAATTTAAAATTCTAAGACTGCATTACTTCTAAGTACTAAGTGGGTTACTTGCTTTCTGGAAAATTAAGCATTTCAGACAGTGATTGATATACTTTCTAAACATTTAATTCATTCTTACTGATAAGATCAAGTTTTTAGTTTCATCAAGGAGAAGTTTTCATAAGGCAACTTTAAATAAAAGCTCTAAAAATTCTAAGCTGATTTTGGTTCTGCTTTTTTTGAGTATTACTACTTAGGCTATTCATTAGCAGGCTAGGACACAGTCCCAGCAATGTGACCGTTGGCACTTTGCTTAGGGCCTGCTAAGTGGCAGGCTCACGGTAATAAATATTTGATAAAGATGCATATGAACCAGTTAGCTTTGTTGTGAGCATGGATATTGAATTGGATGAGTTTTATTTTAGAAGCTTTAAGGTAGAGTTAGTAGTCTCATGTAGGACCTAGTTTTATTTACGATATTGCTAGTTTCCTGGGTATTTTCTGATTTTTAACATACTACTGTTGTGTAGAAATGTTAGTACAAAATGTAATTGTGGCTGTTTTGGTTTTAGGTGCACACACTTCATTCACTAGCAGCATCACTTTCTGCATCAATTTACCAAGCATTATGTGACAGTCATAGCTACAGGTAAAAAAAAAAAAAAAAGTACCTAAATAGTATTAATACAGCAAAAGCATTAAACTGTTCCAGAGTTATATTAAAGTTCTGCTTCCTAGGGACTGAAAAATCCTCAAATATGACCACCATGTGTACTTTAATAGATGAGAATGGGAAATAAAATAATTGTTTAGTTTAGCTATTACCTAGTAACAAGAGACATATAGAAAATGACAAATAGTAAAGGAAAATTATCATCACCATCTTTTTTTTTTTTGTTTTCAAAAAAAAGAAGTGTTCACTATCCAAAGTAATTTATGATATGAAGTTTTCTTATTTTTTCCCCCTTAGGAACTATTCCTTTTAGTGTTAGATTAGTTTCTGTTTGTTTGGTTTTCAGTTGAAAGAGGAAGAACTTTTGAAAAATGAGAAAGTACATTCCTATCATTGAACTATTAAAATCTATTTTACTTACCCATTTCTGTATGTCTTTAGAAGTGATATCAATATATGTAATGGTTTGAATTTTTGTTAAATGTCTAATTGCCTTCATCAGTGTATACTCTGTATTTTAATGACTAGGGCAGTATAAGTAGTAAGAAATTGAATCACTTGGAAAGATGACCTAGATTTAAATGGATTGTATTAATAAATGAAAAGTTTGTAATATAAATAGAATCACATTAAATTTATATTACACATATATCTAGATTTTTTTCTTATAAATTCAGCAGCCTCTTGTGGGAAGATTTGTTATTGCATAGGGAATTACTCTCTCAAAATGGCCTGTTCTCTGATGTTAGCCTAATAAGGCCATGTCTAAGTAACTACAAAAACTTAAAAATGTAAATAAGTGAAAAAGAGTTTGTTTGGTTGACTGTGGTCATCTTTTTTTTTTTTTTTTTTTTCCTTTGCGGTACGCGGGCCTCTCACTATTGGGGCCCCTCCCGCTGCGGAGCACAGGCTCCGGACGCGCAGGCCCAGCGGCCATGGCTCAGCGGCCATGGCTCTCGGGCCCAGCCACTCCGCGGCATGCGGGACCCTCCCGGACCGGGGCACAAACCCGTGTCCCCTGCATCGGCAGGCGGACTCCCAACCACTGCGCCACCAGGGAAGCCCTGTGGTCATCTTAATGATCAAAGACAACTTGTTTGATATCAGTCACTGCTTAAAATGGCGCCAGATAAGAATCCAAATAAATTTTGTTTAAATGTGTATTTTCTAGTTTTTAGGCTGTGATTGACTCTCCAGGGAGTCAGATTTATTTTCTTCTTTTGTACTTCCCCCACTCCATAAAGATGAGGGAAGTAAATATTTGGGCACATTTGGCTTTAGGACTAGGTATTTCTAAAATAGGATTCTTCAGATTTTAGTTGATGTTTTAATTCAGAGTTGAGCTTGCACGACTTTACAGAACTAAGAAATGCAACAAAATAGTGCCCTGAAACTTTCTGATATATCTTAGTACCATCAGTAGTCTCCTTACAGCAGACTTTAAAAAAAATACAAATAAGTGAATATAGAAAAGATTTTTAAGTATTAGGTGGCATTTGGAAAAGGTTTTAATGACTAAATGTCATCTGCCTAAATAGAAAATTTGGTATTTTGTTTTAAAAAGCTATCGATAAATATTTGTAACTAATTTAAAGAACTTTCTGAAATAAGTTTTTATTAGAACAGTGAACTCAGTTTTAAGAGTTTTGTTTTAGTTATCTAAAATAAATACGTATAGGGTATAATTGCTTGTTACCTCTATTAAGACCATAAATAACTGAACCCTATTTGTTTTAGCAGTCAGACAGAAGGGAACCAGTTTACAGGAATGGCTTATCAAGGACTTCTTTTAAGTGATCGTCGAAGGCTAAGGACAGAAAGCATTGAAGAACATGCAACACCAAATTCTTCTCCTGCTCAATGGCCTGGTGAGAATCTGAGTGGTGTTTTTTGTTTGTTTGTTTTTTAATCTTCTATTTGGCAACTCCTTTTTACAAAGCTACCAACTGGTTTCCTGATTGTTGTTGTTTGTGGATTTGGTGAATAGTTGTTTGTTTGTTTTTGATGATGTTTTCTGCCATGGATTAGGAATTCTTAAGTACTGTAATGTTGTCTGAAGACTCAGAAAGTTAAGGCTTCAAAAACCAGCTGTGTTGACCAGCATAAAAAAGCAAGGTTTAACATCCTTCGCAAGGGTGAGCACGTCATGTTTCTTATCCTTAGACATCCCGAATTAGAATCTTAGAGAGCCAGTATCACAGAGCTTTTTTTCATAGATACATCAGAATGCAGTTATTCTCAAGAGTGTAGATGTATGTTAGGAAAGGAGTGACCATTCTGTGGCACATATATTATGATGTCTGCCAGTCCTCTTCCTCCGGTTGGCTCTTTCTCACTCTCCATAACAGTTATTTCAAACCTTCTCCACTCTCTTAATGTACTTTCCTCGTCTGCCACGTCATTTAATTTTTGCTCTACTTGCTTTATAACTCTGTGGTTACATGTTAATGATCATTGTGAAGAGTGGCAGTAGAAGGAAGTGACGGACTCCAAGTGTGTATTTAAAATTCATTTATGCATAAGTTTCTCAAAACATATTGTTGTCGTTTTGATATTTTATTGAAATAATTTCAGACTTAACAAAAGTTTCAAAAATGGTACAAACAATTCTTGTGTAACCTTCACCCAGATTCCCCAAACAGTGACATTTTACCATACTTGCTTTGTCATTCACTCCTCCTCTCTCACTCACTTATTGTGTGTCCGTGTGAATATATACTTTTTTCTGAAATATTTGAGGGTAAGTTGCAGACATGATGCCCCTTTACATCTAAATATATCAGTTTATCTTTCCTAAAAACAGACATTCTCTTATTGTACATAACCATAGCACTGTTATCAAATTCAGCATCTTAATATTGATACAATACTGCTCTCTAATCTATAGATTTTTTGACAGTTTCACCTGTTGTCCCACTAAGGTCTTCCATGTAACATTTAGTTGTATTGTCTCATGAATCTCCTCTAATACGTATTCCTCCTTCTTTCTTTGTCTCTCATGACACTGACACTTTGAAGAGCACTAGCCAATTATTTTTTAGTGTCCCTCCATTTGGGTTTTTCTGATGTCTTCTTAATATTAGATTCAGGTTATGAAGAGCGATTGTACCCTTCTCGGTGTAAAATATCAAGAGGCACATGATGCCACTTGGTCCCATTACTGGTGCCATTAACTTTGATCACTTCGTACGGTAGTTTCTGCCAGATTTCTCCTTTGTAAAGTTACTTTCTTTTCCTTTGCAATTAGTGAGTATCTTTTGAAGAGAATGTTTGAGATTGTGTAAAATATCATACTTTTACCCACTAATTATAGCATCCAGTGATGACTCCTGACTGAATCAGATATTACTGTGGGGATTACGAGACGGTGATTTTCTAATTCTATCCATCCTTCTACGTATTAGTTGAAACTGTTCTGTAAGGAAGAGCTTTCTCTTCTCTTCTTTTAATTTGTTTATTCACTCATTTATTATATCAGTAGGGATGAATGGATTCTTATTTTATTCTATAGCTTATAAACCATTCCTATCATTTTGTTGTTCAAATTATGGAGATATATATATCTCCATGTGTGTATATTCACACTATATATATAGTATAATATAGATACATAATTTCGGTTAAACTGCAGATTTGGATTTTTTTTCCTTCTGGAGCTTTACGCTGATAGACTTCTTATAATATTATATACCCTTACAGGTGTGAGTTCACTTATTAATCTCTTGAGTTCAGCCCAAGATGAAGACCAGCCAAAATTGAACATTTTGTTGTGTGAAGCCGTTGTTGCTGTGTACTTAAGTTTATTGATACATGCTCTTGCCACAAATTCCTCCAATGAATTATTTCGACTTGCAGCCCACCCATTAAACAATCGAATGTGGGCTGCTGTTTTTGGGGGAGGTATAAAACTTGTTGTGAAGCCTCAAAGACAATCCGAAAATATTTCAGGTAAGATCAATTTGATACCAATAAGGTATGTAAATGTAAATAGTTTCCAATGTGAAAGTAAAAGATTTTTTTAAATGTTTTAAGAATTTTTATTTTGAAAATCACTGATGTTTAAGGTATAATCACTCTTGTTAGGGTAATAAATAACGAAACTTGTGTTAGAATAAAGAATATAGTTTCAGTTTAACATTTTTTGGTAAACCAGGATAAATTTGAGGAGGATAAAAAAGAAAAAAGGAAAGGTAATGGTAAGCAAGGAGACAATGTTAAGGAATAAGGTCATGGAAAAAGGATAGTTTTTAATTAGAGAAAGATTTAAATAAATCCTCATAATCTTTACAGAGTATACCAGTAGTTGGCTTCAGATTAAGTTTATGGTAATAGACAAGAAGGCTGTTCCAATCATGCACATGGTTTTTAAATTCCATTTTCTGTCCTCTTTTTTTTTCTTATGGACCAAAATAGATTTTTTAGCCCACTTTTTTAGATGGTAGGATGGTAAGATATAGACTGATGCCACGGGAAAGGTTTACACCTTGGTGCTGAAACACAGAAATTGTCTGTCTTAATTCATCCTTAGAAATAATCATATTACAGATGAGGAGTTAGTGGCACAGAGAGTTTAAATGGCACAGGTTCTAACCTGTGTCTTTACTGCCCAAGATCACATCAGATGGATAGGTTCCTACGTAAGTCAGAGTAAGGTAGGCCGTCTTATCGACTTGCGTTGTCTCCACTCCCATTGCATGTGGATGACTCTTAATTTCCATCTTCCTACCTACTTGTAGTCCACTGTAAATTTAGAAGTTTTCCTCCCAAATCACTTCTTTTCTCTTCCTGAGTTTTCTATTATTTTTCATGGTAGGTAATACATTCATCAAGTCATCATGCTTAAACCTCTGAGTACGTATTCATGTTTGCATTTACTTACACCTGCTCTATGCCCGGCTTTTGGGGTATGGGAGTGAGCAAAACAGACAAATCCCTTACCTTCATGAAGCTTACATCCAGTAGAGGTAAACACAATAAATTAGCACGTGATAATATTTCAGGTATGGGAAGAACTACGATAAAAATAAAAGAGAGTGACTGGACAGAGAATTATGAGGGAAAGGGGATGGGAACAGTTTAGTTAGGGTGATCAGAAGACACATTTCTGATTAGATAGCATTTGAGCAGAGTCCTAAGGAAGTTGGGAATCAGATCGTGCTGATATCTGGGGCCAGAGCATTTCAGGCAGACGGAGCAGTGAGTGCAAAAGTCATGAGGTAGGACTAGTTTGACCTTTTCCAGGAACTACAGTGGAGGCCAGAATGGCTATCCTGATTCAGGGGAGTGTGTTCAGAGATGAGGTAAGATAAGTAACTGGGGCCAAGGTCATTGAGGGTTTCATGGGTCATGTAAAACTATCGTTGTTGTTCTAAAGAAAGATAGGAAACTACTGGAGGGCTTTAAGCAGAGGAGTGACATAATCTGATTTAGGTTTTCAAAAGACCCACTCTAACTGCTATGTGGAGAATAGACTGTGAAAGAATAAAAGTAGGGAGGCTATGTGGGAGGCTCTGGGAATAGCCCACTTAAAAGATAATTGTGGATTACCATCAAGAGTGAATGGATAAACAAAATGTGGTATATAAGTACAATGGAGTGTGATTCAGCTGTAAAAAAAGAATGAAGTATTAACACATGCTATATAGCTAGCATGAACCTCAAAAATATTATGCTGAGTGAAAGAAGCCAGGCAAAAGTCACACATTGCATGCTTCCATTTATATGAAATATTCAGAATAGGTAAAGCCAAAGAGACAGAAAGCATACTGGTGGTTGCAGTGGGCTAGAGGGAGGGAGGAATCGGGAGTGACTGCTTAATGGGTATAGGGTTTTCATTTGGGGTAGTGAGAATGCTTTGCAGCTAGATAGGGATGGTGGTCGCACAACAGTGTGAATGTACTAAATGCCACTGAATTGTACGCTTTAAAATGGTTAATTTTATGTAAATTTCACCTCAGTTAAAAAAAAGATAAAAGTGGTTTAGCCTAGTGATGGACAGAGTGAAAAGTGGTCATATTCATCAAAGAGAACTTGAGATAGAATTATCATTTTCTATGACGGGGAGCTTCAGAAGAGGACCAGGTTGACTTCTTTCTGGTTCTCTCATATCCAATTAGTTCTGAGTCCTTTTGATATTTCTTTTATGTATTTCTCATATCTAATACTTCCTCTAGGTCTTTACCACCCACCATACTAGTTCAGGTCCTTCTTGTGTCAGATTCTTCCACCTTCCTCTCTAATTGATCCTGCAGACTATACCTCATCCTGTGCCTAGTTCAAGACACTTTCATGAGAATTGCCCATAAGATGAGCTCCCAGCTTCCTATCCACAGGCTTGTCCCACCCTAACTCCAGACTGTCGTTGTTATTCCCCTCCCTGACACCTGTCTAGCAAAAGAAGTTTACTCCTCATTTAGCCAAACCTTTGGTCATTCATTTCTGGTGTCAACTTCCTCTTTACACAGTGAGCTTCTGCTTTTCTTTTAAGGCATGCTTTACATCCTACATATTCATTCAATGAATCTTTCTTGAACAACACAGCCAGAAATAATCACTCAAGCACTCTTTGTACTGTTTGTTGAATATATCATTTATTTAATACACTGTATATAGAATCGCTTGAATTCTTATTCTGTATAGCACATAGGCTGCTTCATTGCAAGTTAATCTTTTATACTCTATCCTCATCTGCATCTCTGCCATGATTGTTGGAAAACTGATGCAGTAACTAGAAAAGTTTAGAAGCACAGATGTAAGTAATTTAGTCTACACTGAAAACATGGCAAGAGTAGGATGAAAAGAAAGGTTAACTCTTTGAATTAATAATGGAAAATAAGGCCAGTTTTTTTTTTTTTTTTCTATCTTTATTCAGCACCTCCTGTTCCTTCTGAAGACATAGATAAACACCGCAGGAGGTTTAACATGCGAATGCTGGTTCCTGGAAGACCTGTAAAGGATGCTACCCCACCACCAGTGCCTGCAGAAAGACCATCTTACAAAGAAAAGTTTATTCCTCCTGAACTCAGTATGTGGGATTATTTTGTTGCAAAGGTAAGGGGTGTGAGGAATGCAAGCTTTATGTGTGTCTGTTTTATTAACTCTTATGTTTGCATCACATAGGAATGACGGGGCAGCTTCTGGGCTGAATCACCATAGTTTAGGCATTAATCTCTCAACTCCAGAAACTGAATAATCATTCAGGAATGATCAGATACTTGAAATGGACCAGACAAATTAAAATCATACGGGACTTAGGTATAAACCAAAAGTTAGTTTATTAACATTTAATCAGCATCATCCTTTTCTAGGAACTGGAATACCTGTATCTACCATCTAACTTCCCTTCTTCTGCTTATCAGTAGTTCCCTTGGTCAGCATGAAATTAGAGCAGAAGGAGATGGATGGGTATTTGAGGGTTTCGTGAGACCATGGGTTTCATGAGGTCCCATGGCATATCTCTGTTTCTCCAAAGCAGAGAAAACTTTTCTGGGGATCAGAATACTCATCGTGACTAGATCCAACATAGTCCCATTTTGTACCGTGTTGGGTGTGTGCTTTTCTGCACTTTGTTTTTTCAAGCACATCACCTTATATTGATAGGTTTCCTTCTTTACCTGTGTTCCCTCTTTACATGTGTTTCATTTATACTTCTTCCCACTCCCCAGATTGGTTGGAAGCAAATCCAAACATCATGAAATTCCATTCATAAATATTTCACCATTTATTTTTTAAAAAGAAGGATTTTGAACCAGTACCACACTAGCATTATCACACACACACCACACACACCATACACACCACACATACATACACACACAATTCCTTAATATCATTAAGTATCCAGAGAGTGTTCACATTTTTCCCCATTACACCTTAAATGTTTTTGAACAGTTGGTTTGTTAAATCAGGGTCCAGAATAAGATCCACAACATTGCAATTGGTTGATATGTCTTAAGTTTCTTTTAATCTATAAGTTCTACCTCCATCTCTCTTTGTTAAATTTACCCCCCTCCCCATTTTTTGCCCCCAAATTTGTCCTTTAAAATTTCTCAGTGGCTTTTGCTGATGGCATCCCCATGTTTGGTCTTCTGACCATGTTCCCCTGATTTCTGTTTTTCTGTAAAGTGAAAGTTAAACTTAGAGGCTTTATCAGATTCCATTCTGATTGGATAGGGAAAGGGGAGTACAGGATTACTTCATAGGTGGTTTTGTGTATTTCCATCAGGAAACTCTCTTTTTGAGATGTTAGTTGATGATTTTTGCCTAAGTCCATTATTTTAAATTTAGGGTAGTTTTAAAATTATGATAATGATATCTTCTCATTTAGTCTTCATTTATTTGCTGGAATACTTTCTTCCATCAATCTATTTGGTTATCCTGAATTACATTTTGAAAGAGAAAGACAGGATAAGTGCTTTATTCTTTGCTTCTTGTGCCAGTTTTCAAAGTGATGAGTTGATTCTCTAGCATCCTTCAGAGGAAGCAGTGAACTTTGTTTTGTTATTAGTTTTGTTATATTATGGATTTAAACATATTTTATGTATTTTAATCCAGTACAGTTATTATTCTTATGGATGTTCAGATTGTCCCATCTTTGCCAATGAGAGCCTCTTCCAGTTGGCTCCTGAATCTTTTTGAGAACTCTTCCAATAGTCTTTGAGTTTCTTTTCTTTCTAGTTTAAGTCATTCTAGGCTAATTTTGCATGTTTCCTGCCCCAGAGTGGGAGCAACCTCCAAAGAACCTGGTTCCTTTTTGTGGGAAATTATAATTTAGAAACCACAAGTGGGTATATGGGTGCTCATTGTCACTGGGTTTGTCATTGTTTCTAGGTACATATCATTTCTAATGACCAAATAACTAGTCAGCTTGATGAGTATACTGTAGTTTACATAACCATTTGCCTATCAGTATTTGCTGTATTTATTTTTTCATTTTTATAAATAATGCTGAGATTAGTATCTTTTTAGATAAGCCTTGTTCACATTCTGATTATTTCAGATACATATCTGAAATATATATATATATTTATATATATATCTTCAGATTACTGATTTATACTCCCTTGAGAATAGTGAGCATGCATCTGACTTTACCCTCATTAAGTATTCCTTTTTCATTTTTGTTAATTTGATTAAATAATTTTTATTTCCTATTAATGATATCAAAAAATGTTAATGAACCTATTGCTATTAGGTTTTCTACTGTGAGGGATTGACTGTTCATGTTCTGAGCAAAATTATCTATTGGAATTGTAATGTTTTTCCTTACTCTTAATGAACTCTTTATTTTTAAGGATATTAACAATTTACCTTACTTGTGATACCTTTTCCAGATTCTTTGCCTTTTAATTTTATGTTTTTGACATACAGAAGTTTTAAAAAGTTTATTTAGTCATGTCTATCCATACTTTTAAAAAATGATTTATTTGCCTTTTGTTTTTGACATACAGAAGTTTTTAAAAGTTTACTTAGTCATGTCTATCCATACTTTTAAAAAATGATGTTACATTGTTTTTAAGCAGAGAAAGTCCTTTCCACTAATAAATGTTTACTTTTGTTATCTTCTCCTCCTTTTGTTTCCTCCACCTTCTCTTCGGCCTCATCCTTTTTTTTTAAAAAATTTATTTATTTATTTTTGGCTATGTTGGGTCTTTGTTGCTGCGTGCAGGCTTTTCTCTAGTTGCTACAAGTGGTGGCTACTCTTTGTTGCAGTGCACGGGCTTCTCATTGCGGTGGCTTCTCTTGTTGTGGAGCACGGGCTCTAGGCGCGCAGGCTTCAGTAGTTGCGGCACACGGGCTCAGTAGTTGTGGCTCGTGGGCTCTAGAATGCAGGCTCAGTAGTTGTGGCACACAGGTTTAGTTGCTCCGCGGCATGTGGGATCTTCCCAGACCAGAGCTTGAACCTGGATTCTTAACCACTGCTCCACCAGGGAAGCCCATCTTCCTCCTAATTCTTTTTAACTTTTTAACTCTTTTTTTTAATTTCTAACTCTCCTGTTGATCTAAAATGAAGTGAAGATCAGACTTCGGTACCCTCTTTATCTTCTATTCTCACACTTATACTAGTTGTCCTTCCTTTCCTCCCAACGACTTAAGATGTTATATTTGTCATATATTAATTTCTTATTTATATACTCTTCTTGGACTATATTTTTCCACTTATCAAATTGCTAGACTGCACTTATTTTAATTAGTTATTTTAATATCCACTAAGAAATAGTATCTTTCACTTTAGAAAGATTTCTTAGTTAATCTTACCTATTATTTTCTTCCCTATGAACTTTACAATCATTGTCAAGTTTCAAAAAAGGAAAAGAAATCCCCATGGGGATTTTTATTGCAATTACCTAAAACCTGTAAATTAAAGAATGATAGTCTTTACATGTTTCAATCTCCTTATTTAGCTTTTAGAGGGATTTGTAATTTCCTTCACTGTAGCTCTTTCACAGTTTTCATAAAGTTTTTCCTTTGGTATTATGTTACTTAATGCACCTTTTTTCTTCAGAGTTTTTGAACTAGTTATTGCTGATATATAAGAAAAAGGCCATTGATTTAAAAAAAAAATTTGTGTCGTATCTAGCTACTCAGTTATTTTATTGAATCTGAGAGTTTTAACCTGGTTTTCCTGACTTTCCTAGGTCTAGTATCATTTTCAAAAGAAAATTTTAGTTTAGGTTGACACCATTTAAAATGTTCAATATTAAGTTAGGATAAAAATACCCAGTTATACATTTAAAAATAACTTCACATTTTATTGCAGCCGTTTCTCCCTTTGTCTGATAGTGGAGTTATATATGATTCTGATGAAAGCATTCATAGTGATGAAGAAGAAGATGATGCTTTTTTTTCAGATACACAGATACAGGAACACCAAGACCCTAACTCCTATAGGTAAATAAAGCTTTCCTCTTTTCTTTTTGTCTTTTCTTTTGTAGAAGTTCCTGATGTTACTAGTTTTAAGCAATATTACTATCATGAATTTATACAAGAACTGACCTATGTTTTCAGGTTAGGAATTCTGTACCTTTGAGGTACATTGCTAGATAGTAGAGTATTTCACATGCAGTTTCAAAGAATAGCTGGCACAAACATTTTTAGTGAGAAAAAATACATAATTTATTGATATGGTATTAAAATTCCATGTAGCTGTGTGGTAAATCTCTTTCCATTAGGTATTTCAGATAGTGCAAGTATAATACATTGTTGCATACCTTTTATTTTCAGAGACTACAAAGGTACTCTTTTTTAATAGTAAGTTGTTAGAAAAAAACAGCTTTTTTTCTGGGTGGGAGATTGGGCCAAACAGTTGACAGGGATCATTACTATATTCTCATGATTTTATTTTTCAATTAAGGAGAGTTTTTTTATTTGTCCCTTTGAACAGCTGGGCTCTTCTACATTTGACAATGGTTAAGCTAGTACTTCACAATGTCAAGAATTTCTTTCCCATTGCTGGACTGGAATTCTCTGGTAAGTTTGGAATTTGAAAATTAATGTTATTAAATACAACAAATTATCATCAAGTTTCTCTTTACAAAATCCATATAAAAGAACATGTGGTACTAAAAATATACAGCATTGGAGATGTTATGAGGTCTTATTTATCTTAGGCTCCAGTCTGTGGTTTTAATTCATATGGCAAGAATCACTGACTACCTAGAAGGTTGGAAGAAAAACCAGGAAACCAGCGTGGAGAAGCTGAACATTTTCCTAGCTCATTTTAGAAAGCTGGTCTTCTGTTTTGTTCAAAGCATTAAATATCAAAATGGTGTTAGATTAACATTTTCAGATTTATTTGTACTTTCAGAAGTTTTGGCTCTAAGAATTTGGATCTTGTAAATATGTGGTGATGGTCAACATTTTTAATCAAAGTAAAATATCATATTCTATTACATTTTAGAGTTGCCTGTAACATCACCATTAGGTATTGCTGTGATTAAAAACTTGGAGAATTGGGAGCAGATCTTGCAAGAGAAAATGGATGAATTTGAAGGTCCTCCCCCCAACTATGTCAACACATATCCAACTGACCTTTCAGTAGGAGCTGGACCAGCTATTCTTCGAAATAAAGCAATGCTAGAACCTGAAAATACTCCATTCAAGTAAGAATTCTCTTACAATGGTAATGAGAGTGTAGCTTGGTTTAACCTTTTTGGAAGTCAGTTTGGCAAAATAATATGCCAGTAGCCTTCGAAACACTCATAACTTTGAACTTGCAATCCTGTTTCCAGCACTATAGGCCAAGGAAACTATCAGAAATCTGGATAAAAAATTATTTTTCCCATATTACCTGTACTTCAAATAGACATACTAATTTTATAATCAGGACAAAACCTTTATTTTTGTCATCATTTTAGGAACTCTTAACAGAAATGTTTTGGGATAACAATCTACATATTCAAACAAGGTGCTGTCAGTAATTTAATAGTAAACACATTAAGGTTTTTATTGCTGTTTTGATCTTCCATCTGTCCATCTAGGCCCCTTTTGATAAGCAGCATGCTTTTTTTGAGGCAGCCAGCCATGATTTAGAGTATTGCTCAGAAGCTTGAAAGAGCAAGGCTTTAAATTTAGCTTGTTAGCTGTTAAAAATGAAATGTGGGACTTTATGTTCATTTATATTCATTGGTGATATGCTGTAACCAACCTAAAGTATAATTTAAAAAGAGAATAATAAGGGCTTCCCTGGTGGCGCAGTGGTTGAGAGTCCACCTGCCGATGCAGGGGACACAGGTTCGTGCCCCGGTCCGGGAAGATCCCACATGCCACGGAGCGGCTGGGCCCATGAGCCATGGCTGCTGAGCCTGTGCATCCGGAGCCTGTGCTCCGCAATGGGAGAGGCCACAACAGTGAGAGGCCCGCGTACCGCAAAAAAAAAAAAAAAAGAAAGAATAATAAGAGATTCAATTGACTCTCAGCTCAACCTGTCCATTTAGAGAATCTGTAGAGAATTAATTGCTAGATGAAGGAATGATTTGTAGAACTAAAAATTAAAAGTGAAATAAATTATAAAATTTTGTTGAGCTTAATGCTGTATCTTCTTTGCAATAATGGAGGTTTTAAAAAAATTATCTGCAAATAATGAAACATTTTCTATAGACTAAAATAGTGTGATATGTTGATTTTTTTTTTTTTTTAAACTAGATCCCGGGATTCTTCTGCGCTTCCAGTCAAACGACTTTGGCATTTCCTTGTTAAACAAGAAGTACTTCAACAGACATTTATTAGATATATTTTCACTAAGAAAAGAAAGCAGAGTGAGGTATTTTAGAAAAAAATATTCTCTCTTGTAATTTTCATTTGTTTTTTTTTAACATTTCTAATGAAGCATTAGAAAGCATTTTCTAACATTTCTAATCAAATAATGATTTATTTGAAATTTACTTTTGGTTGGAACTTATTATCTTTCATACATCATAGGTAATAGTTTATCAAACTACAGAGAATTTTTTTTAAGATAAAAACGTACAATTTTTATTTCATAACAATGAAACAACATAGGTCTTTCGACAAATCCTGTATAGTCAGGTGAAAGTGGTTATGTCCTTTATAATATTTGCCTTTGGGCCTTTACATGTAATAAACATTGTGAGGGATGGTTTGGGGAATTTAGTATATAAATGAGTATACTCTATGTTATGATTCTCTGAATATCATTTAAATGAAAATACAGCATAACCCTTTAAAAGCATTTTTATTTATTTAGCATTTAGAAATGAACAGCATAAACTATAGAATAATTTTGTGAGACAGATTAAACTACAGAAACACCAAATATGAGATGAAGGAAGATTGATTGCATTTACAAAGTGAGGCAGAGCTTCTACATTGCATGGTGATTTTTAAGCTAAACATAAGTTAATAATGTAATGCCATACAGGGTTCAAGAAGAATCATGAATTTGAGAGAGTCACACTTTAGAACTTAAAACGATCTCTTCATTATAAAATGAGGGGTACACAGATGTTTTATATATAAGCATTTCAGTCCATTTGGCTATTTAATGAGGTAATGAGCAGTTTGGAGAGTAGTGTTCAGAGTAGAGTGTCAGATGTGATTAAAGATTGGCAACAAAAACTATGAGAAAAGAAAAATTAATTATATTTCACTTAGAAAAGTGAAAACCGAGAGGGACAGTCTATGTGGCTCAATTTCCCAAGGTTGCATATAGAACTGCTTCTCAAATGTTCTCCATACCTAGGGCAGCAGAACCGACCAGATTCGTTCTTTTCTTTCCACTACTCACCCACTTACCTGGATGGTCATTGTGGGCAGTCCTGTGAACAGTCATTTATTTTTTTCTGTAGATTTAAAAATTATGTACTTACGTGAGGAATTAGAGGAATGAACTGTAGAGATTCTTTTGTGTCTTATAAGCTTATTTGATAGGAAAAGACCCCAATGGTATTGAAATTATTGATGTAGGGTTTTGTTAGGGGAATAAGAGCCAAATTCATTTCCCCTTTCGTTTAATACATTGCTTACTGCATTTCCTATAGTGATACTGAGTTCTATAAAATAAGATATAGAAATCTAAGAAATAGATTTAAGATAAAAGATACTTGCTCACTTAGGGCTCTGTTATTCACAGAAAGAGAGTTCATTGAAGGATCAATTTTCTGAGTTGTTAGTTCTTCAAATTATTAAACACAGTGATATGCTTTAATTATTCATAAGGTTTCTAGCAGTTTTGTTTTGTTAGCTTGTCAGAGCCTCAGAGTGCTACAGAAAGACTGGGTCTGGGTTGCTGGGACCCTCAGACTCTTGTCTTGCTCTTGAGGATCTGTTGTCTCCTTTCTCGTTTCCCTCTTCCTTAACCAAGTTTCTCCCCGATTCTGCCCCTTACCTCCCCTTCTTTATGTCCCTCCATTTCTGTGCTCTTGGGATCAGCAGCCCAAGCTGTGTGTTCTTTTCTATTTTTCTACCCGAAGAGGCTCTCCATGTACAGGGAGGTGGGACAGAGATAAACTGAACATTTCTTAAAATGCTGTGTAAGCGTTGGTTGGCTCCAGGAAGGGAAGTACATGGCTGGGAGTTTGGATGGAAGAATTTTTATCATGTACCCTTTTGTACCTTTGAATTTTAAATTATTGAATGAAATTAATATCTTGTTGCATGCAGTCCAATAAAACTTTGTTGATAATGGAAATTTATGTCTGTTCTGTACAGTATAGTAGTCACCAGCCACATGTGGTTATTGAGCACTTGAAGTGGGCTAATGTGACTGAGGAACTGAATTTTTTATTTTGTTTAATTTAAATTTAAAGCCATATGTGTTTAGTGGCTACTGTATTGAATAGCACATTATCTGCTGAAAAATGGTTTTCATTTACGAAAAAAAATTATGAAAACAATGTGAAAGCTCTTGAGGCAAAGTAAAATTGGTCACTTAGTTCAGAAATATGCAGAATTTATTAAAACTACCCATCTAATAAGAGTGTTTTATCTTTTTAGATTGTTAAATAGGATATTGGTGGTCAATAAATTTGGTAAATTCAGTGAATTGATTAATTAGCAAAACTGGCAAAATAATCCTAAGAATGCTAAAATTGGCTAATTTTTTAAAATTACCTAATAAAACTAAAATTCTGAGAAATGCTGAAATTTTAGGTGTATTCAGAAGAAGGTATTTTTACTGAGTATGTTAGAGAAGACTATTCCACAAAACAGCTTTTTGTGAAATGGATAAATGTGGCAAACTTAGCCACTTGATTAAAGGCAAATAGGTTCTTCTGCAGTTTGGCTTTTGCTGAGTTGGCCCTTGCACACTTGTACCATTCCTTCAGTGTCAGCTGCAGCAGCCCTTGAGCAGTTGCACAAGGCATGGAGAATTGGGTCCTGTTGGCTGAAAGAGAAGCAGGCACTTCAGGAAGTATTGGTAGCAATATATTGCTCTGATCAAACCTTCAGAGGTTTCCACAGCACAGCAGAAATGATATTTCTGATTATAGCCATTCCTAATGGCCCTGTCATCAACCAGGAGCAAGTTATTTGTGTGATTTCTTTCCCATGCCTCATCTCATCAAACATTTACTTATAAGGAGAAAATCATAGGATTATGTATAGTGTAATGGTTGATGTGAATTTTAACCCTTGACTGTCTCTTCATGGATATATTCCTTATGAGTAAGAGTGAAATAATTTATCAGTACTTTTAATCTGTGTTTAGAAAAAAATAGTTTTTATTTATTTGAAATAAACCCCTATAGGTTAGGAATCTATGTAGTAGAGGATGCATCTGCTTATACAAGTAGGTTTTATTTTTAGAGACTAGAGTTTAAGTTAGAACTTCCAAGTTACATAACTGACATACAAATAATGAATTTTTATTTTGAAATTGCTTTTATATATGTAATACATTAATTTTGCCTGTTTTGCTTTGTGTTGTTTTTTCTGATGACATCACATTTTACTCAGTTTAATTTTTTTCTTGATGTGCTTTTAAATTCATTTTAAAGCTTGCAAATTCATTTTTACCATCTTTAAGTGATGGAGCAACCATTTCAGTTTGAAAACTTTCATTTCTTTTATAATTCCGTTTCATGCATGTGTTTTGTGTTTGTGACGGTGTGGTGTTGTTTAGTCTATAGAAGAACATGTGGAGCAGGTCAAACAAAACTGCATAGCAGAAGATTGCCACATCAAGGTAGTATTCCATGCTCTCGAATTTAGCTCGTTCTTTAAAATTCAAGGAGCTAACCCCTCATCTCTGATACTAACCATGACCTGCCCAGCTGGCTAACTAGTCAGAGTGCTCACTGCTCCCACACACCTCACTGGCACAGGGTAGGAGATGCTCCACTGTGTCCAGCTTGATCTTTCTTGCCATTGGTTCTTCTCTTTCTTGCTTCCTTTTCGATCTTCAGTTCTGTCCCTTTTCCCCATCTGTTCTTAAACATGATTGTTTTATCTTGCCTCTTTCTTGATTCTGCCTCTTCTTTTCTCCCCATCACCTTCAACTCTGAGCATTACACCTTCCTCTCATCAATCTCCTTCATTACTTTTTTTTTTAAATTAAAAAATATTTATTTATTTATGGCTGCATTGGGTCTTAGTTGCTGCGTGCGGGCTTTCTCTAGTCGCGGTGCACAGGCTTCTCATTGTGGTGGCTTCTCTTGTTGCGGAGAACGGGCTCTAGGCACGCGGGCTTAGTAGTTGTGGCTTGCAGGCTCTAGAGCACAAGCTTAGTAGTTGTGGCGCACGGGCTTAGGTGCTCCACGGCGTGTGGGATCTTCCCGGACTGGGGCGTGAACCCGTGTCCCCTGCATTGGCAGGTGGATTCTTAACCACTGCGCCACCAGGGAAGCCCTCCTTCATTACCTTCTAACTGTTCTTGTATCCAACTTCTTATGCCTATCTCATCACCCTTATTTAAAAATATTTCACTTCTTATGTGACTCCTTTGTCTTTCTGATTGTGTCTTTTTCTCTCACATTGTTACTGCTGTATCTTTGTGCACTTTTGGAAGAGATAAGAGACATTACTGTTATAAATACTAATGAAAATTATGTTAGCTATCTTTTGTGACAGTTACTCAGTATCCTGTAATCACAATGGAAATTTTTGTAATTGGGGTGATTACAGGGCATCAGAGAATCTAAGCTAATTCCACAGCTAATTTTCAACACACTAAAATTACTGGTACCTTTTTTCTTGCTGCTGCTGCTACTGCTACATTTTCTTCTTGTTCTCCTTTTAAGTTTTGTGGGATGTACATATATCTGTATGGAGCTGTGCTGCAACAACTAAAACTGCTGACAAATGTCTTGTAGGTTGAAGCAGATCTGGGCTATCCAGGAGGAAAGGCAAAAATCATTCATAAGGAGTCAGATATGATCATGGCATTTTCTGTTAATAAGGTAAAATCTTCAGTAATTATAAAGAATGTAGTACTTTGTTTTAGTGAAATTGCTTAAATTATTGACTTTGAGTTTGCTTTACAGGCAAACTGTAATGAAATTGTTTTGGCTTCAACGCATGATGTACAAGAACTCGATATTACTTCTCTTCTGGCCTGTCAGTCATACATATGGATTGGAGAAGAGTATGACAGAGAATCCAAAAGGTTTGCTTGCCTTATGTAATCAATTTTAAATGTAGTTTTCTTCAAAAAGAACCTATTAAGTGGTTATGCACTTGATTTCAGTTGTCTTGAAAACTATGTATTTCTTTGGTGAGGAGACAAACATAATTGGTTTAGCTGCCAATAAAGGGCTCTGCTTACATCAGTGTACAAATTACTCCTACTTCTTCCATTAGACCCTGAATTATTCATAACGTTTGAGTCAGAATAATCCCCGACACCAGAGCCTAATGCTAACAACTGCCACTTTGACATTTAACCCCAAAGAAATGTCAGAAATTACACAATATTCAATAAATTCAGCTGATCTGGATAATTACCATAAAAAGCAGAATACACTAATATATTAATTAGACTGATTGATGAGTCACATTTACTGAGTAATTTTCAGTGTTTCTTCTTGATTATCTCTCCATAAGCACACCTTTTTTTCAGATAAAAATGTAGCCAACTTTACTTTTCAGTAAAACTATGGACACTGCACCAAGAGTGCAGTAATGCTTTCCTATTTGGGGGTTTCTCCTCCATGTTTTCCATCCCTCTTGCTTTTCTCCAGACTCTCGGAAATTTTGTGTTCTGGGAGTGGTGCCATGATGGCCTCCCTCATTTCTGTTTCTGTCTCATTGGTATATAATACAACTAGGTTTCAGTCACACTTCAGAGTAGATGTAACCATGTAATATGATATGGCCCATCATAAAAATTACTTTAACATTTAATGTGATAATTAGCACCTAAGTTTAAGAAAACTTTTAACTCCAGTTTCTTTAAAATGTTTGAATTTTATAAATGGGGTCTCTGCACTGGAAGAGAACATACAGTCTTTTTCTATACAGGATAAAAAGAAAATCTGTGTTAAATACTTCAAAACAAACACTTGTTCTAATTTGTGCAGCAATAAAATTCTCCCAAACATTAGACTAAACTTATATTTTGCCTAAGGGGAAAAAGTTAACCAGTACTAAAATTGGTTATGATTAGGACTTGTACCTATGTTTTTATTATGGATATTGATACTTTTTTTTTAAAATAAAGACTGTCCTTCAGATAGATAAAAAGTTCTGTAATTGGAATTTGTGTTGAGAAAATGGAACTGTCACAGTAACACATGAATGTTTTCCACAGTTCAGATGATATTGATTATCGTGGTTCCACTACAACTCTTTATCAACCCAGTGCAACATCCCATTCAGCAAGTCAGGTGCATCCATCTTCATCTCTGCCGTGGCTGGGCAGTGGACAGACTAGCATTGGAGCTAGTGTGGTATGTTATTTACTATTAGGTATGGTTTCTGGATATGGACTCGCTCAAAAATAGGTTGAAATCACTTTGACATAGGAATGATGCTGAAGATCAGAGGCAGTGACCAGTTAGTATACCATAATAACGATAGCTAGCATGCTGTGGGTTTCTTTATGTCAGGTGCATGCTTTTTCTTATAACAACACTAAGTGGTTTCATTTTATAGATGAGCAAACTGAGAGGCACAAAGTGGTAAAGCAGAGCTAGAGAGGAATTCATGTCTACTCTAAGTGTTTGAAAAATGCCATCAATAACGTTGTTAGTCACTGTAGTTAAAGGGGTCCCATTCTCATGTTCTGCTCTGAAGAATCTGGAGATACTCCTGACTGTCCTTAGGGAGGGGCACTTTGGAGGAGAGCTCCCTTTACAACTAGATGAAGCAGCTTGGTATCCTCACAGTCCACACAGACCAGGGCACGCCAGTAAGTGACTGTGCTTTCCCAGACTGTTAGACAAGCGCCGTATATTTAGTGGGTCAGAAAATCCACAACAGGGTTTATTTTAGTAATAATCCAGTGTAAGAGAATAACTGTTATCAGAATTAGAGTTGGCCTGAATCATATCCTTCCTTATTTCTTCTGTGATGCAAAAGAAATTCATTTTTATCTTCTTTTAAAGCTTATGAAAAGGAATCTACATAATGTTAAGAGAATGACCTCACACCCAGTCCATCAATACTGTGAGTTTATTTATGATCAAAGGACTGCAAGTGATCGCTATCATTTTGAAGTTGGCTTATAGAATGGGAAATGTTGGAACTCTTTCTTCAGCTTTGTTTCTTATTTTTTGCTTTTCCTTTTGCGTCTCAGATCTTACAGGTGCTCAGGATGGCAGTGTACGAATGTTTGAGTGGACAAGACCTCAGCAGCTTGTCTGTTTCCGCCAAGCTGGCAATGCAAGAGTTACCAGATTATATTTCAATTCACAAGGCAACAAGGTTAGTTCCTGGGGGTTACTGCTAAACTTGTCCGAAAAGAACTGCAGATATTTATGAGTAAATAGCTAGTAAAACTAGACTTAAAAACAAATTCAGTCGCTCTGGATTTGAGTTGAGCAGGCAGTCTGATGGTGTCTGTTTATATAGCCCCTTGGCTCTCAAGAAAAGCATAAATCCACAGAATTTTGTGTGGATTAATTAATCATCTACTTACAGATACTACGTATTCTGTGAGGGTAAAGAATTCTGTTTCTGTTGAGTGCATTGATGGTGCCTGTGTGCAGAGTCAGGCACCTAAGAGCAACCTTCCAATTTCTTACTAAGTTCTGCTACAGAAGTTTGGAGGAAAACAGTGAAATAGGCATGGAAAAGAATTTAAAAGGTGGCAGGTTATTTACAGTACTTGGGCTTTCTTGAGAACTACAGCAGCAGGAGCATAGGTATAGGCAGAATGTTGGTTAAGTGGGGACTGAGTGACTCTCCATTTCATAAATGATTTTACCTTCGATATGGCTACTCAGAAGCTGTGTTTAATATTTACGCCATTCTTACAGTGTGGTGTCGCAGACGGAGAGGGTTTTCTGAGTATCTGGCAAGTAAACCAAACTGCATCAAATCCCAAACCTTACATGGTAAGTATCACTCAGCATTCGCAGAGCACATGTGGAGGCCACTTTGTTTGTGAAGTGTTTGTTTCAGACAGCGAGTCCCATTGGTGGATCTGTTGGGAAAGGGACCACTCTGTCCAGCAGCCACGGCCCAGCACCATCATTGCCCTAGTTTTAGACTGAAATGACTAAAACGCAAAAAACTTGCTTTTCACAGCTTGAAGGGTGACCATTATATTTGAAATTTTTAGGGGCCTTCTCTGTGTGTGGTCTTATTCAGGATACATTTTTATTACACTTTTATCTGTTTTGAAATCTCTGACTTCTTAGTGATAGAGTTTTATAGTGATTCGTTTTAGGTACTGTATTAAGAACCAGACAGGTTCCATGTATGCCAGTTTGCTCCAGAATGTTTCTTATTAGATTATAAAATAACCAATCCCAATAGGCCACTTCATCCATTAATCCAAATCATGTTAGAACACGTGGTGATGCAGAAAAGCATGTCTGCACTTGGAGGGTCGGGGGCACGGTGACGCTGGAAGGTTAAGTTCATGTACTTCGTGTTTTATTCCTTTGTTACATAATCTTTAATTCCATGTTTCTGCCAACTCTTCCAGTTTTAAAAAATTATTGGGTATTAGCCAAGTAACATGCATATGACAGCTAATCCTCTTATCAATTATTCTTTATTCTAGATTTTAAAAAGTGTTCTTAGGTCATGCATGTAGTATATGATTAGCAGAGCTGTGTGTGTGTACTGTACCACATTTTACTGGATTTTGAGATAACATCAGCTTGCACTTTGTTCCCATAGAGTTGGCAGTGCCACAGTAAAGCCACAAGTGACTTTGCATTTGTTACCTCTTCAAGTCTAGTTGCCACATCTGGACAGTCCAATGACAATAGGTAGGTTAACAGAGATGCAAAAAAGAAATAAGCATATTTTAGGCAGAAAGGTATTCTTGCTAGTAAGTATGGATTTCTATTTAGTCAGGTTTTTCCACCTCAGGAATACAAAAACTTTGTTACATAATTCTTCAAGTAGTTTTCCTTACCAAAAAGAGAAAGACCAGAATTACTCCTAATGTAATCTACTAAAAAGTATGTGGAATTTTTATGTTAAAGCTATTTTTTTTATTGCTGTTAATACTGTCAAGTTTTTGAGGCTCTGTAGCCATCATTCTCAACATTTTCTTTGCCTCAGATTGTTTTCATTGGCAACATGTGCCCATGAATAACACCTCTCATTTCCCTGCAGTGTTTACCCCCAAGGATATAGAAGCATCTCTTCTACTCAGGAAATCATGTCTCATTTTCCGTGGAGTGATAATGGAAAAGAGATAGGGCCGGGGGATGAGATGGAGCAGAGTCAGGTGGGACCATGTGAGACAGACCCTGTAGTTTGAAAAGGATAAACTCTTGGAAGAGATATATCCCCAGTCCCAACCTCTACCCTCATCCTAGTTGAGAATCACTGCTTTATAAATGTGAGTGAACAAAACAACATAAGATTCAATCAGTAAAAATATTTGATGTAAAGACACAGTTTATCCCAGTGATGACTTAGAACAATTTGTTTATGATGTGTTTTTGTTATTGTTTCTTTATTAGAAATGTATGCCTCTGGGACACATTGATATCACCCGGAAACAGCCTCATTCATGGTAAGTGAGCTAAGTCTTTGATTTTTCAGTACACTGTGAAAGAATGCTTTCCTGGTTTTATTTTAACCAGTAAATCCAGTGCGTGTTTATTCACGGGTTAAAAATGGAGATAGAGTGAATAAAATTCTAAAAGTTAACTAGAATATCTGGCTACCTTGCTGAGGTAAATATATATGGTCACAGAAACCCAGCTAGCCTAGAATAATCTTTGTGTTGTATTCCATTCAGAAAATATGGTATGGAGAGTGGCACTACTAACAAGGCTGCTGAAGAAATCAGTTGCAAAGTATTCCTTGAGCTCAACAGAAATGAGGTGGTATTTCAGAGAATTAAATCTGACTGTAAACTAAAAGTCAGCCTTATGATTAGAAATCTGAATAATGCCGTTTAAACATTATTCCTTTTAAGACAGTGTTTTCCACATCGCTGTCCTAAAGATCACTCTTTCACATAATGCCACCAAGTGCTCAAAGCTCTAGTAAGTTTGGGTTAAACATAGCTAGGAGGACTTTGTTAAAAAAAAACAAAAAAAAACAAAACAGATTTGAGTCTTTTACTATGCTGACGTGTATTTTGAAAGGTGTAGTTATTTCCCAGTTTTGATTGCAAAATTCTTTGTTTTTGGCGAATAATTATTAACATCTCTTAAAGATTTGCCACATATTAGTTTAAGGTGTTAATCACATTAGAATGCAGAGAGTCCTGGGAAGGTTAACTCCTTAACTTGGGGCTGGTAATTTTCACACTAGTGTAGTTTCATTTACTTAGCTGAGAAGGACTTTAAAAATATATATATTTTATTGAAGTATAGTTGATTTACAATGCTGTGTTCATTTCTGCTTTATAGCAAAGTGATTCAGTTATACATATATTCTTTTTCATATTCTTTTCCATTATGGTTTATCTCAGGATATTAAATATATTTCCCTGTGAAGAACTTTTGATGAGGTTTTATGTATGGGCAGGAACTGGGAAAGGGTAAATACTTGTTATTGGTGGGTATTAATGAAGACATTGAGTATCATTGAGAAACTTGTTCTCCTCTGCACTTTTGCTTCTACATTCTTATGAGACAGTATAACTTAGTTTGGGCATAAAGTTTCAACTTCCTGTGTATATGGGTGTGTGTTTTCATACTGAGATTATGTATGTTTTTTTCTGTTATTGCTTGCCATCTTTTTTAATACTTTGATCATGATTATAGAAATTAGAAGGGAAAATGTGACAGTAATTTCTGTATTACTTAAATGTGCATTTAAATATTACCAGAAGTGCTAAGGTAGACATCATTTGGGAAAGGCTCTTGATGTTTTTCTTCAGGTTTCACATGCCATGATCATGGTGCCACGGTACTTCAGTACGCGCCAAAACAGCAACTCCTAATATCTGGGGGCAGGAAAGGCTACATCTGCATTTTTGACATCAGGCAGCGACAGCTAATTCACACATTCCAGGCACATGACTCTGCAGTTAAGGCGCTGGCTCTCGATCCCTGTGAGGAATATTTTACTACAGGTTCAGCAGAAGGTAACATAAAGGTGAGTCAGTACAAGAGGCTGGAATGTGCTAAATATTATCTTTACCTGCTGTCAGGATTGATCGGGGAGGGGGAACCAAACCAAAAAACTCACCACCCTCTTCGTGCAAATATTGCTTCCTCCCTTACTTCTGTGTGGTTCTTTCTAAATTGTTAGGATCTAGAAAACCAGATAATCAATCTCAGTATACTCTCAGGTCATTAAAAAGCTGTAAAGAACTCTCTTTGAGAAGTGTATGAGTTTTTAATTAATGCATTGAGTTTTTGATGACATGAATTTGGTTTCTCACATCATCCCCCTCCCCTCTTCCCACCTCTGCCTCCAGTACCTGACTCTGTTTTGTACAGTTGAGGTCTCCAAAGAAGCCTTTTATATTGTCCCAGGGCCTAACTTAGCGTTAGGAATGTATTTAACTGAATTAACTGAAATATTTAATTGAATTAGAGATGAGGTATATATGGTTAATATGAAACAAGAGGATGTGAAGAGAGGAATTTGAAAGAAGGTACAGGGAAGTGTAAGGATGGTAAATGAGCCCTGTGAATGGTATTATTTCCAATTAGGTAAACTGTTAGAAAAGAGGTAGTGGACAGGAAAGTTGGGCTTTAATGAGATCAGTTGGGCTGGGAGAACAGAGGTGAAGGCCATGTTTTTAAAAGTTTTTCGTCTCTTTCTCTATTTTTTAAATGACTTACACTTTTTCTTTAAACTAGGTTTGGAGGTTGAGAGGCCATGGCCTACTTCATTCATTTAAAAATGAACACGCTAAACAGTCCATATTCAGAAACCTTGGGGCTGGAGTCATGCAGATCGACATCACCCAGGGCAACCGCATCTTCTCCTGTGGGGCAGATGGGACGCTGAAGACGAGGGTTTTGCCCAGTGCTTTTAACATCCCTCATAGCATTCTTGACATTCTATAGACTTAAAGATTGGGGCTTTATTTTTATAAACATTTCAATTAAAAAACACACTGCAGAAATTATTAGGCATTTCTGCTTTCCAAGCAGTTGTTAACCCATTGAAAACAATACAGAGAATCTCTGTGTAGAATTTGAATCTGATCCAAGCTGAGTTTTAGGCTGAGTTTTGCGTATATGGGCTGGTAGAATGACTGTGCATGTGTACCTTTTATCATGCCGACATAAATAAAACAAAACCTAGTACTGTATAAAGGGTAGCTATTCTTTACAGCATTTAGCAAACCTGATTCAGAAAACATTTGAGGTTAGAAGTTAGCATATAAGTTAGTTATAATAATGAGAAGGACCTTTACACCAAATCAAGGAAGAAAATGTTGCTGTTTCAGGTTTTTCTTCCTATTCTTACCACTGATTGAAGCATGCCTGCAGTCTCCTTTGTTGAATGAAGAATAGTCATAAGGAGTTAGAAGCTTCAGGACACCAGAAACACACTGTAAGCAGCGTGTAAGCACACTTTGAAGCAGCGCATAGTGACTAGTTCTCTGCTGTGAGAGGTCGTTCCCATTCTTTCCTGCTGAATATTTTTCCTGTTAGTGTTTATACTGATCTAGTACTGTAATTTGCAAATGAGTGCAAATTTAAATGCAATGTTTTCCTCACAATTTGCACATTCACGTTTTTTGGACTGCTAGATTTTCTATTTAAATATTTGCCTTCATGTTAGGAATGTAATATGTGGACATGACATATTGGTAGTTAACCAAAACATACCAAGTTAGTACTTCTTTTTTAGTCCAGTTTAGTACTTTTTCTTTTCATGTATTCAAGGTTAAAACACCCACAATATTTTAAGGCTATGTTGAACCTACACCAGTAGAGCATTTCATATCATAATTAAAATGAATGTTAGGCTTTCTGTGGCCAGTTAATAGTTGATGAGATTGGTGATATTATTTATTACCACAGCCTATTGTATAAACTATGCAGAGTTAAATATTATTTGCTTGAAAAGTGTTAGCCAGTGTTGTCATATTTTGATGTACTTCTTGGTTATGACCAAAAATATGTTCTTGAAATATTGAAACCAATGTCTGTGTTTAAATGTTTACCAGCAAATTGTCTCATCACGTTAATGAGAATGTTTAATGCCTGTGCAGTATATAGTAAAATATAATGGCATAAGAGCACCTTTCTCTGAAGGCAATGTGATGTTTGGGCTGTGAAATACATATGTAAAAGAAAAATAAATGTTATTTGTTAGAGTTTTACCTCAGTTTGGTCTGGCATTCTTTGATAATATTTTTAACAGTTGAGATAATTTTAACTTTGATAAAATGCTTAACTGTGAGAGAATTCTTAAGGTATTAGGCAGTTCATTCATTTACTCAAATATTTGAGTGCCTTCTCTATCAGAAGCCCTTCAAGGAAACGGGATACAGGGGTGACCAGACAGAAGGTACACAATGTTGGGATTTAGCTGGGTAAGAACCAACTCCACTGTGCCTTCTTGTGTATTGAACTGAGAGTGGATTTTGGCACCCACACTGGTGAAGGAGCTGAGCTGGGAATGGTGCTTATGTGGAATGGTGAAGAAAAGAGGAGGAGGGAGGATGCCTGAATACATAGGAACACAAGTTAGACAAAAATTGTAAATATATACACTTACCACAGCTCTGTATGCAGTAATCTATAGATGTTGCATTCTCTCCATCATTCTATGTAATAATACAACCTACAAAAAAGGGGTATAGAAAAAGCATTTCTAAGAATTTCATAGCAATAAATGCCTACATCAAGAAGCAAACAAACAAATCTCAAATAAACAACCTAACTTTACACCTTAAGAAAGTAGAAAAAAAGAACAAATGAAGCCTCAAGTTAATAGAAGAAAGGAAATAATCAGAAGAGAAATAGATGAAATAGGGACTAAAAAGACAGTAGAGAAGATCAATGAAACTAAAACCTGGCTCTTTCAAAATATAAATAAAATACAACAAAACTTTAGCTAGACTCATCAGAAAAAAAAAAGTCTCAAAATCAGAAATAAAAGAGAAGTTACAACTGATAACACAGAATTACAAAGGAACAAAAGAGACCACTAAGAAAAATTAGACATCCTAGAAGAAATGGAGAAATTCCTAGAAACATTCAACCTACAAAGACTGAATTATGATGAACTAGGAAATGTGAACAGACCAATTACTAGAAACAAGGTTGAATCAATTATCAGAAACCTCACAACAAACCAGAACCTATGGCCAGATGGCTTCATGGGTGAATTCCACCAAATATCCAAGGAAGAATTAATAGCAATTTCTTAAACTCTTGCAAAAAATAAGAAGGAACTCTCCCAAACTCATTTTATGAGGACAGCATTATTACCCTGATACCAAAACCAGACAAGGATGTCGAAGAAAAAGAAAATTAAAGGGATATTAAAAGGTCAATATCCCTAATGAACTTACTTGCAAAAATCCTCAACAAAATGTTAACAAACTGAATTCAACAATACATTAAAGGATCGTACAACATGATCAGGTAGAATCTACTTCAGGAATGCAAGGATTGTTCAACATCCACAAATCAGTCAATGTGATATAGCACATTGACAAAATAAAGGATAAAAACCATATGATCATCTCAATAGATACAGAAAAATCATTTAACAAAATTCAACATCCATTTATGATAAAAACTCCCAACATAGTGGGTATGGAGGAAATGAACCTCAACATAATAAAGACCATATATGAGGAATACTCAGTGACTCCTCTCCCAGCATGAGCACTGTGATCCCACCTACCTTATACTGAAGCTCAGAAATGGATCTGGAGGCATCTACTCCAACAACTAGGGAGCAGACCCTGCTCCCAACAGGGCTGTGATAACCACAGAGGAAAGAGGAGTCCCTGCTCAATAGCCAGTGCAGTCTCTGGTCATCACAACAGCAGTCTCACCCCCTATCAAGGGAATAACAGCCAGCACACACTGAGGAAAGACATGGCAGGCATCCATACTAAAAACAGCCCTCACACCAAAAATATTAAACTCACACAGGCTACACAGGGATGCTCCCACAAATAACAGCCCTTCAAGACTACAGTAGATAACTTTCTCCTAAAGTCATAGAGTCAGAGAAAGAGATACAAAATGAAGAAGCAGAGGAACCATTCCCAATTAAAAGATCAAGAGAATTTCTGTGAAAGAACAAACAATTAAACAGATATTTTCAGTCTAATAGACATCAAGTTCAAAAAGGAGATAATGAAAATACTCAAGGAGGGAGTTCCCTGGTGGTCTAGTTGTTAGGATTTGGCACTTTCACTGCCATGGCCCAGGTTCAATCCCTGGTTGGGGAACTGAGATTCCACAAACCTTGTGGCGTGGCCAAAATAAAAACTAAATAAAAAAAAAAAGGAATTAAGAAAGGCTATTGATAGAAATGCAGATTACTGTAAAAAGGAACTAGAAACTATAAAGAACTAACAAGAAAAATAAGAAAACTCATTCGCTGAGATGAAAGCTGAGCTAAAGGCAATGAATAGCAGATTGAATAATGCAGAAGAACAAATAAGTAATCTGGAAGATAGAATAATGGAAACCAACCAATCAGAACAGCAGAAATAAAGACAAAAGAAAAAAAATGAAAGCAATATAAGAGACCTATGGGATAACAGAAAGTGTGCCAATCTATGCATAATAGGGATCTCAGAAGGAGAACAAAGATAAAAGGGGATCAAAAATGCATTTGAAGAAATTATGGCTGAAAACTTCCCAAAGCTAAAGAAGGAAACATATATCCAGATACAGGAAGCACAGAGGGTCCCAAAGAAGATGAATCCAAACAGACCTAAATGAAGACATAATTAAAATGGCAACCGTTAAAGAGAGAATTCTAAAGGCGGTAAGAGAAAAGCAAAGAGTTAATTACAAGGGAACCCCCATAAGGCTATCAGCTTATTTCTCTACAGAACCACTGCAGGCCAGAAGGGAGTAGCAAGATATATTCAAAGTCCTGGAAGGGAAAAACCTGCAATCTAGGATACTCTACCCTGCAAGATTATCATTTAGAATAGAAGGAGAGAGAAAGAATCTCAGACAAGAAAAACTAGAAGTGTACAGCAATACTAAACCTATCGTGAAATAAATATAGAAATGTTTTCTCTAAATAGAAATGAATCAAGAATCTATAGGAAAGAAAGTCACAACTGGAAAGTAAATCACTTAAAAGAGCCAGTACACAGATAAAAAAATTTTTTTGTGAAAGTGATGATAACCACAATGAACAGCAAAAGGATAAACATGAAGATATAAAAAGGATATCAAAATAATAAAATATGGGGGAGGAGAGTAAGAAAATACAGATCTTTTTAGAATGTGTTTGAGTCTATATGACTACCAGTCTAAAGCAAATAGATAGAGTTTTGGGTTAATATACTTGAAAACCAAAGTAACCACAAATCAAAAACATTCACAAAAACCAAAAAGAAAGGTACTCAAGCCTAATACAAAAGAAAACCATCAAACCACAATAGGAAAATCAAAAAGAAAAAGGAACAAAGAAAAAATACAAAATCAACTGGAAAACAAGTTTTAAGATGAAAATAAATACATATTTATCAAGAATTACCTTATATGTCAATGGACTAAATACACCAGTCAAAAGACACAGAGTTGTATATTGGATAATAAAATAAGAGCCTACAATATGCTGCCTACAAGAGACCCACTTTAGGGCAAAGGACACACACAGACTGAAAGTGAGGGTATGGAAAAAAGATATTTCATGCAAATGGAAATGACAAGAAAGTGGGGTAGCAATGGTCATATTAGACAAGACAGAGTTAAAAACAAAGGCCTCAAAGAAAGATATAGAAGGACACTATATAATGATAAAAGGATCAAGAAGAGGATATTACACTTGTTAATATATATGCACCCAATATAGGAGCACCCAAATACATAAATACTAACAGATATAAAGGGAGAAATTGACAGGAATAAAATAATATTAGGAGGCTTTAACACTCCACTCATTAGGAGGTTTTAACACTCCACTCACATCAATGGACAGATCTTCTAGACAGAAAAATCAATAGGCAACAGAAATCTTAAAGGATACAATAGAACAGTTAGACTTAATTGATATTTTCAGCACATTATATCCAATTAAAGCAGAATACACATTCTTTTCAAGTGCACATGGAACATTCTCTAGGATTGACCACATACTAGGGCACAAAACAAGCCTCAACAAATTTAAGAGGAAATTATTTCAAGCTTTTCTGACCAAAACAGCATGAAACTAGAAATCAAACAAGGAAAAGAAGGGAAAAAAGATTACATGGAGATGAAATAACATGCTACCAAACAACCAATGGGCCAACAATGCAATCAAAGAGGAAATATTAAAAATACCTTGAGACAAATGGCAATGAAAACACAACCATACAGAATCTATGGGATACAGCAAAAGCAGTCCTAAGAGGGAAGTTCAGAGAGATACAGGCCTTCCTCAAAAGAAGGAAAAAAATCTCAAACAACGTAAACTGCCACCTAAAAGAACTACAAAAGAGAGAACAGTCAAGCCCTAAAGTCAGCAGAAGGAAGGAAATAATAAAGATCAGAGAAGAAATAAATAAGATAGAGATTTAAAAAACCAATAAAAACCAAGAGTTGGTTCTTTAAAAGGGTTAAACAATATCCACAAACCTCTGGCCAGGCTCACCAAGTAGAAGAGAGAGGACCCAAATAAACAATATAAGAAATGACAGAGGAGAAATTACAACCAATACCACAGAAATACAAAAAACCATAAAAGAATACTATGAACAATTATATGTCAACAAATTGGACAACCTAGTAGAAAAGGACAAGTTTCTAGAAACATACAGCCCACCAAAGCTGAATCAAGAAGAAATAGACCATTTGAACAGACCAATCACTAGAAGTGAAACAGAATCTGTAATTTACACAAACAAACAAAAAAACTCTCCCTGAAAACAAAGTCCAGGACCAGATGGCTTTACTGGGGAATTCTACCAAATATACAAAGAACTTACACCAATCCTTCTCAAAATCTTCCAAAAGGCTGAAGAGGAGGGAACACTCCCAAAGGCATTCTATGAAGCCACCATCACCCTGATACCAAAACCAGACAAAGACACTGACAAAAAAGAAAATTACAGGCCAGTATCTTTGGTGAATATTTATGTAAAAGTCCTCAACAAATATTAGCAAACCAAATCCAACGACACATAAAAAGGATCATATACCAT